ATCAAGTAGCCAAAGAAGTTAAGTATAGCTCCTATTATGAGGATGAACCAAGGAGGAGTCACCTCGTTGATTAGACCCGCGAGGACTCCGACGTTGGCTCCTAGATCTTTGAAGAAACTGAGGAGGTTAAGAGTCGTTTGGTCGTAGTGTAAGGTTGTCTTGATATCGCCTGAGTAGAGACTGAACATGTAAGTGGCTCCAGCCGCCGACATGATCCAGAGACTCCCGAAGAACATAAACCATCTTCCGGTTAGGATTTGGATGGTTAGGCTCTTCATTGAGCCGCCGGGACTTGCAGCCACCATTTTTTTGGTTTTTAGGAGAGAAGTGTGTGTGTGTTCAAGAGGGATGCTTATGGGTGTTGTTCTGGTTGGAATATATTAGCACGAAGTGTGCGTGAAAGAAGGAAGAGAGAGGGCAAAGAACGTTGTTGTTGATCTTGACTTGTAGAGTAAATAGAGTTATTAGAGAGGAGAAGGTTGGGCGTAGAAGCTATGCTTTATTTATAAACAAACATTATATAGATTTTATATTACAGAAAGTGGCAGTAAATTCAATGCATGGAGTGGATGATTATCCTCTGATAATGAATAATCAGAAACATGACGTAGAAATTTTTAAATAGAGAAGAAAAGAAAGGTAAAATTTTACATTTATGGACGGACATAAAGAAAATATATTTGTTACCAAAATAAAAATAAAATATATTTATAAAGACAGCTCTATAGTAGGTGGGTGGACTACAATTAGAAGGGTTGACTGAAAAATACAGATGTAAGGTAAGTTTTAATATATTAACAGATTTAAATGTCTAGGAGAATCTACAATGTATTAATAACAATTATGGGCTTATCAGATAAATTAACACTAAAAAGCGATTAGCGAATCATCAGGAGCTTGATTTTATAAATTAATAAGAGTCAGTAAATTTCATTTGTCGACATTTGATAAGAGTAGTAATTGGTTATGTAAACAGACTGTTTGAGTCACTATCTGTTTATACAATATCTAGGTGTGAAGACACCATTTGAATAGTGATTGCTGAATAGATTCGGTTGACGTTAGTCATCTAAATTATTGAGAAATGCAACTAGCACCTGTCAATTATTTTGGGCAAGCATTCACATTGTAAATCAGAGTAGTTTTTCTTCCAATAAACATAGTAGTAAACTGAAGTAGGGTAATAAGTGTTAACCAAAAAGGCATAGACAACAGACAATTAGGTGTAGAAGTTGGAATCACCTTATAAGTTATTAATTAGAATAATATAGTTTCGAATATAATCTTAATAATAATACAAGTTCAACATGTAATTTTAAATAATGTTGCCAACAACTAACTCGAATAAGAACCTTTTTGGAATCACGAACAAACATGTCTAACTAAACTAATCACACCACATTAAAAACTGATAAACCAAAATTTTATTTCTATTTTAATCTGACACGAAACCTATTTATATTAATTATATGGTCACGGTTAGAATACTAAGACATAATGTTAAATAACATAATCAGCAGCAAAACTGCAGGAGTTAACATGATTGTCCACCTTACTAATTCATTTGCCTGATCATCTTAGATTTTAAATGCTTGGTTAAGATTTTGAGTATAATAGTTGAATTTTCCTCATTGAATAGTCGGTCAATGTATAGCATTTGATTCTCCTAATTTCTTTACCCATTAGGTAGGTCTCTTTCGTTCGTGACCAATTAAAAATGAAGACCTGCAGAATAGTATCCCTAAATAATGACTACGATATGACGTACATTTAAGGACTCCCTCGCACTTGTAAGAGCACCCACATTCATGAACAGCAATAAAAAAATAAACTTTTTTTTTATTTTCGTTTTATTTTTTTTTTTTTAAAAAAAAAAAAATTAATTTTGGATCAATCATATGTTGACACGTGGTGAATCCGGGGTCATCGGGGTTCACCACGGTGAACTTTTGAGGAAGGGGTTCATAGAAATCTGATTTTAATATTATTATTTTTTCTCGGTTCGCGTGTGAACTCCCCCCATCAACCCTTGATGGGGGTGCTCTAATATCTTGACTACACAAATGCATTGAACTCTTTTTTCTAATACATACAAATATATATATATATATGTATACAATATATATATTTTAAAATAAATAAAATACAAAATAATATACAATAACAATATTTAATTACAAAAAACTGTTTAGTTTTTTTAAATATAATAAATATAAGAAATAAAATATTGTGAAAATATATAAAATATTATATTTCTGTAACTTATATATATATATATATATATATATTTAAAAATCTATGTATATATATATACAAATAATAAATCAGATTAAATATTCGTTCCTAAAAGTATTATTTGTGTTTAGTTTGGTTTCTGAGGAATAATATATTTTAATATTTTTTTTAAAAATTACGATCATTCGAATCAAAACGATTAACGAATCAAACTAAAATTTCATTAATATTTTGTCCTTAGTTAAGATAATTTAATTACTATATCAAAACATGGGCTAGTGATTTAGAACACATGGGCTTCTGTTGAGCTAGGACCTAAGCATGTTTGTTTCTTCATAAGCATGTTGTATCTTCATAGGCAAGTAATGATTTTTTTTTGGATTATTACTGTGTTTGTCCAAGTAGAAGAAAAGAGTTGGTCATAGTTACCAAAATTACGACACAACTGATAGAAGAATCTTCATGGTCGAACTCCAAACCACCTACGACACAACTGATAGAAGAATCTTCATGGTCGAACTCCAAACCACCTAAATGTGTTTCTTGAAGTACGCCAATACATCAGAAAAAACTCTTCTTATGTTCGGTGTGTTCATTTTGGTGGTGAAATATATGTGGACTAAAACTTGGTTGCAAAATTATTAAAGAAAACAAAAAGAATTTGGGAATGGAAATATATAGTTGTCTGGCACTAGCAATGCAGTCATGTCTTATCCATGCACGTCTCAGTGTAGCACACAAGATAGGCAGTCCATATATATATATGCCTATCGTTATGACTATCAAATTGGTGTCAACTCTTTGGAGTATTGGACCACGACCACAAGATTTGAGAATATCATCTGCAATAATCTGACCAACCCAGCCGTGTAGCTTAAAAAACTACACGACACATGCACCGATGCACAGCACAGGTCACAACACATGGACTTGTTAACTCTTTAACCCATATGTATTGACTTTTTGGATATGTACTTCTTTTTTTTGCTTTCTAGAAAACTCATGTTCCCTCGATCCTTTAGTCACTTGCACTATATCATCCGTAGTAGGGTCAATAAACTTCGGTCCATGCATTGATGCTCACGCACAGGAACTACAACACTTTGTTATTTCTTATCGTCCATGGAACCGTTCCAGTTTGTAACCACCAAATTAATGTTGCATTAGAAAACAAGAACTTGACTTAAAAAACTGACTTTTTGGATACAGCTTCTTGAGGTCAATTCACCACGCTGGCAAGTACACTTGTTTGGATTTACGTAGTGGTATACAAGCCGAATACGAATAGCTTCACAAAGTCGTATAGACACAAGCACGAATTAAATCACACGACGACGCATCTCTCACAACACATGGCATGTAACATGTTGACTCTATAACCCAACTGTTTGACTTTTTGTTTGGATTTGTGGTTTTTTTTTTTTTAATTTTTCATTTTGATTTGGATTTGTGTTTTTTTTTAGGGAAATTAGGTAGTATAGCTACAAAAAAAAAATCATATTTAGGTGAGTAGCCAATTTCCCTAAAATACATAGATACATAATATATTTTATATAATATTACACTTCTATCCTTTAAAACAACCGGCTCAACCTACAGTTTTTTTAAATAAAAAAATATATTCAAAGAAGTAAAAGTTAAACGTTATCATCACAAAATCACACATTTCTTCTTCTTCCTCCTAACTTTTTGAAGGTGAAATATTTCAGGCTGAGATTTGATGAATCGCGAAATCAACATCCAGATTCCAGCCTAATGAGTGGGGGTTGAAGTTTGAGTTTAATGACAGTATCATTATCGTTTCATTTGATGATTAATAATGAGTGTTCTGTTTTACTCACCATTATGTACTATTCTATCTATTTCGTTCCATTCTATTTGGGTTTATGATCCATTCTATTTGGGTTTATGATTTATACTTGGGTTTAGGGTTTAGTGATTATGATTTAGGGTTTAGTATTTGGAAAGAGGGAGGTTGAGGTTTGGGTTTAGTAATAGTAGCTTAGGGTTTAGTATTCAAGGGTTTAGTGATTAGTTTTAGGGTTTAGTATCTAGGGATTGGTGTTGGGATATATTTATTATTTAGGGGTTGTAGATGAGAATATAAATCTATACTATTTCAATTACATAGAATAGAATGCTCATGACATATGTATGTGATCAATAAAGGTTTACGTGGATAGTTTTATATTTGGGTTTAAGATTTGTATTTAAGTTTAGGGTTTAATACTAAGGGTTTGGAGTGAGATTGGGATAATGTTTAGTATATAGGGGTTGGAGTTTGGGTAATGTTTAGTATTAAAGTATGTAGTGAAGTTATAAATCTATATTATTTTACGTGGAATAGAACAAACATGTATATATATGTGGCTATAAATGTGTAACGTGGTTACTTATATTCTCTTAGCTGTAAATTAAATACTAACCATACTTCATTTTGTCTACGTTATCTTACCTTTTATCCTTCACCTACTACTTGTATACGAGAAGGCTAAAACCGACTAACTTTATGCACAATTGTTAATTACTTATTTATGTCAAAATCAATGACATACACCTAATTTCTTCTCTAAACATAGCTATCTCACAAATTATCCTTTTTTTTACGACTTGCTCCGTTTTAGAATTTAGCTGACCAAAAACTATAAAAAAAAAGAGCATACTGTAACGACGCCGTATGTCTTCGTTCTCAATGTAGGGTTTAAGCTCCCCTCTTGTTTGACTGATAGAGTTGAGTCTTCTTCTTCTTCTCCGGTGACGTAAAGATGAGAACTTTATCATCTCCCAATCGACTCCGCAAAACCCTTGTCCTCTACCGTTCAATAAACCTTAAACCCTTTTCTTCAATTCAACACATCACACCTCCAATTACAAACCCCGTAGACGACGCTACTGTAATCCAAACCCTCCTAGGTCGCAAAAACGACCCCGTTTCAGCTCTCCACTACTGCAACTGGGTCAGACCGTTAAACCAACTCCGCCTCGGAGGAGGAGGAGACCTCTTCTGGGTCCTCATCCACATCCTCGTCACCTCTCCCCACACCCACGACCGCGCCAACAACTTACTCGTCCTCTTAATCTCATCAAACCCTGACCTCTCTCCAACCCTAACGGTTAACCAGCTACTCGACTCCGCTCAAAGGTTCGATCTTGGCCTCGACCCACGACCCTTTAACTACCTGTTGAACGCTTATATACGCAACAAGAGGGTTGATGACGCTGTGGAGTGTTTTAAGCTGATGGTTGATCGAAAGGTTGTTCCTTTCGTGGCTTACGTGAACAGTTTGCTGGCTTCTTTGGTTAGGAGTAATGAGATTGGTGAAGCTAAGGAGGTTTATGAGAAGATGGTTGAGATTGGCGTTGGTGGTGATAACGTGACGACTCAGTTGTTGATGAGAGGGTGTTTGAGGGAGCGTAGGCCTGAGGAGGCTTTGAGGGTTTTCAGGAGAGTGGTGGGGTGTAGAGATGCGTTCATGTATAGTCTCGCTGTTCAAGCTGCTTGTAAGATGGGTGATTTGGGGGAGGGTTTGGGGTTGTTGAGGGAGATGAGGGAGGAGTTGGGTGTTTGCGGGTCTCAGGAGACGTATACTAGCGTGGTTGTGGCTTGTGTGAAGGGAGGGAGGGTTGAGGAGGCGGTTAGGGTTAAGGATGAGATGGTTGGTTTGGGGATACCGGTGAGTGTGATTGCTGCCACGAGTTTGGTGACTGGTTATTGCAAGGAGGGGGAGTTTGGTAAGGCTTTGGAGTTGTTTGAAGGTGTGGTGGTGGCTCCGGATAAGGTTATGTTCTCGGTTATGATTGAGTGGCTTTGTAGGAAGGATATGATGGAGAAAGCTGTTGAGGTTTATAAACGGATGAGAGGGGCAGGGATCACTCCTTCCTCTGTTCTTGTTCACACGTTGATCAAAGGGTGTTTGAGAGCTGAGTCATCGGAAACGGCTCTTGAGATCTTCAATGACGGTGGTTACGAGACAGGGCTTGCGCATGGTAACACGATTCTTCAGTTGTTATGCAAGCAAGGGAAGGTTGATGCAGCGAGGGGTTTAATGAAGGTGATGGAAGATAAAGGGATTGAGATTAATGTTGTTTCTTATAATAACATGATGCTTACTCATTGTAGAATGAAAGACATGGACTCGGCTCGTTTGGTTTACTCTGTTATGCTTGAGAAGGGTCTAGAGCCGACGAACTTCACTTACTCCATATTGATTGATGGGTTCTTCAAGAACCGGGATGAAGAGAGTGCCTGTGATGTCATCAACCAAATGATCTCTCGCAATTTCGAAGCTAGTGAAGTTGTATACAACACAATCATCAATGGATTGTGCAAAGTTGGCCAGACATCTAAAGCAAGAGAGATGCTGCAAGACTTGATCAAAGAGAAGCGTTGTTCCTTTAGCTGCATGAGTTACAACAGCATCATAGATGGATTCTTCAGAGAAGGTGAAACAGATTCTGCTGTAGAAACTTACAGAGAGATGATCAGTGAAAACGGTGTCTCTCCCAATGTCGTAACCTTCACCAGCTTGATCAACGGATTCTGCAAAAGTGATAGAATGGACCTAGTTCTTGAAATGAGACAAGAAATGGAGAGAAGGGATGTGAAACTCGATGTTCCAGCCTATGGTGCTCTAATAGATGGCTTCTGTAAAAAGCAAGACATGAAAACCGCGGTTTCTCTCTTCTCTGAGCTCTTGGAGGTAGGTGGATTGGTTCCCAACGTCTCTGTCTACAACAGTTTGATCTCAGGGTTCCGTAACCTAGGTGACATGGTTGCAGCCATTGACATGTACAAGAAGATGGTGAGTGATGGAATAAAGTGTGATCTCTTCACGTATACAACGCTGATAGATGGGTTGTTAAAAGATGGAGATCTGATCTCAGCCTCTGATCTGTACTCGGAGGTTCTTGCTTCAGGTATGGTCCCTGATGAAGTCTTGTTGGTGGTGCTTGTCAATGGTCTAAGTAAGAAGGGACAGTTTGTGAAGGCAAGCAAGTTGCTAGAGGAGTTGAAGAAAAGGGAAGATGTGACTCCAAATGTGCTCATCTACACTAGTGTAATCGCAGGACATTATAGAGAAGGAAATTTGGATAAGGCGTTTCAACTTCAAGAAGAGATGATTGAGAAAGGTCTTGAATATGATCATGCTATATTTGATCTACTCGTGAGTGGAAAAGTTGAAAAAAACTCATGCTGTTAGTTAGCTTTTGGCTTTTCTCCTGAAACGAGATCAAGAGCAAGCAACATTTTTCAGGCGCATCAATATTAGTCATCCTGAGTGTGGTTTCAGGAGACCGATAGAGGAAATGTCTCAAAAAGATTGCAAGCAACATCAAGGTTATGATGAGAAAAATCATCTAAGCAAGTAAACATTTTTTTTTTTAATGGAGATGATAGAATCCTCATACTACTTTTTGAACGATTGATTAGTTATAAAAAGGAGGCAGGTCGGGTCTGGAGGGGTTTGTCAATGCTCTATTCCAAAGAGATTAATATGTCTATACATAGATCATATAGCTTAATTGATGACATGAATTATAAAACAAAAATAATTGATGAAATGGATATATATATTAATTATATAGTGAGGTTTCTTTGTTGATTCTGGTCCACCATCCTCTGTTTGATTGATCCTCATCGCTTAGGAAGGCTGACTTTTATGAGGGACTGATCATGACCGGCAAATCTTGCTTCACTTTCCTGAATAGTCAATGTATCAGATGGGAAAGTAAAAGAGTCTCTAGTTTCACTACACTAAATAGAATATATGAGATATATGCCAAAGATAAAAAAAAGAGACCGTGGTGGTGAAGGTTGTGCTTTATGATACTGCAAAGTCGCCTCCAACATGGACTCTGCCATTACTGCCCTCTCCTCCATCTCCCCAAGCCCAGCAACAGCTTCCTCATATTTGTCCTAACACCATTTTCGTTATCCAAATACATATATAAGTTCATTTTGCCCTCTCTCGTTTACACTAACAACACATACATACATACATACATGCCAAGATGACATCTCCACAAGATAATCATTTTGCTCCAAATTTTCAACATTAATCGTAGTCGGAAAGCAAGCATTCTAACCTGAAGCATTTCGGCAGCATGTCTCTGCTCTGCTGCATCCAGCTCAGCAACTCTCCGTGCATTGATATCTCTTATTTTTATAGGTTTTAGTATCCTATTTTTGTTCATATTGATTAGTTAGATTGCATATTAGGTGCATTTATTACATTTGCATTGCATAATTTCATTTAACAGGGTTTAAATTGCACAATGGGAAGTTTATGGCAAAAATCAAGGGTCAAGCTGCACGTTTCAAGACTTTGGGGGCCATAATGAAATAA